TTTTTTACTCCAATGTTCCATGTTTGTTCACCAACAACCCATGTTGTATTCCACAGACGATAGTCGCATCGCATTTGTCTGTTTGCTTCTCACTTGAAGGGCGTTGGAGTGGGCTACCGCGGTGTGGAATGAGAATCAGACTGTCTTCCCTTCCTTCTCGGCCTTCATCCAGCGGTTTAAGGAAGTGTTCGAACATCCCGCTGAGGGAAAGAAGGCAGGTGAGCAGCTGTTATCTCTATGCCAAGGAAGAGGTTCGGCGTCGGATTATGCTCTCTCGTTCCGCACTCTCGCTGCACAAACAGGGTAGCCGGAGGATCCTCTCAAACTACACCTCCGCAGAGGTCTGAGCATGGAATTGCAGTCTGAATTAGCCTGTCGAGACGAGGGGAGATCCTTGAATCAATTCATTGAACTGGCCATTCGGATTGACAACCTCCTTCGCTCTCGTCGTCAGACTCGGCTCTCTTCGGCTCCAGTCGGCGCGTCATCGCCACTTCCTGACACAGAACCCATGCAGATCGGCTTTACTCATCTCAGAGGAGAGGAGAGAGAGAGACGCATTCGCCAGAATCTGTGCCTATACTGCGGACTATCTGGACACATGAGAGCTTCCTGTCCCACTCGGCCACCTCGCAATCCTTCTCCGGTAGTTCGAATTTCAGTACTTCCACTGCTTTAGAAATTCCAGTCATCCTAAAAGTTAATGGGCAGATCACTGAGGCTATGGCTTTGATTGATTCAGGAGCTGCAGGAAATTACGTCTCATTTGGCAGTGGCAGCGCTAGATGGCCGTCCGCTGGGCACAGGCCAAATTCAATTCACTACCACGGACCTTCAATTATGCACTGGAGCTCTTCACACCGAACTTATCCGTCTCTTCGTATTCCAATCTCCACGTACACCTGTCATTCTGGGACTGCCTTGGCTAGAGAAGCACAACCCCTCAATCTCATGGTCCGAGGGACAGATTACACAGTGGTCAGAGTCCTGCCGTCAGAATTGTCTCAACGCTTCCCCAGTCAGAAAGGAGAGGAATTGCACGCCTGTCAGCCAACTTCCTGCTGAATATCACGATCTCAGGGAGGCCTTCAGTAAGATAAAGGTTTCACAATTACCCCCTCATAGAATGAGTGACTGTGCCATCGAACTCCAACCTGGTTCACATCCTCCCAAGGGGAGGGTTTTCCCCTTATCTCAACCTGAAGCGGAGGCTATGAAGTCCTATATCGAGGAGGAACTCGCTAAGGTGTTCATAAGACCATCCACATCACCTGCCTCTGCCGGGTTTTTCTTTGTTAAGAAGAAGGATGGAGGCCTCCGTCCTTGCATTGATTACCGAGGACTCAACGAC